TATTATTATTATTATTATTATTATTTCTTACCCACCTGTCCCATGGATTAGGCAGGAAACAGCAAGAAATCAGCAATGCACAACAACTAATTAAAATGTTTTAAGATACAAAAGCTTAAAGGATCAAGACCTACCCACTTTAAAACAATACACATTTAAAAGTCATCACCTAAATTCACAATGTAATCAGTAACAGATGCATTTGAAAGGGAGCAATGTTTATGCACTGTCTTTCATGTAAGATATACATGTTCATGAATAATGTATTCAACAGTGCGATCCTATGCCTGCTCAGTAATTCCCAATAAGTTACGGGGGGTTGTTTTCAGATAAACCTGTGTACAACAGTGTACAGTGCAATCTTTTGAGTTGTAGGGATCCATAAGAGTTGTTGAATGGAAGGGGCTACCCATCCCAATCCCAATAGGACAATTTTATCAGTTCAGAACTATTTGACCCTGTCAGCTTTCCCCCCTGAAATTTGAGGTGCCTTGTGTCGTGGTGTTGTAAAATGAGGAGTGGCTATTTCTTGTGTTAGGATGTCAATGTGTTCAGGGAGGAGTTCAGAAAAACCTCTGAAAGAAGGTTTCAGATATCTTATTGTAAAATCTATCTGTTTCTAGAAGTTCTTTTTATTAATAGTGTATTGGAATAAAAATACGAGGCATGTCATAAAACTACGATGCAGACAGAAGTGACATAAAAACCAATCAAGAGACTGCACTTCAATATTAGAAACCACCTTCTCTATCTCTCACATTGTGTGTGCATGTTGTATGCCAGTGGTCCCCAACCCCCGGTCCACGGCCTGATACCAGTCCTCAGAACAAATGGTACCGGGCCGCCCCTCTGTGCAGTGGCGGTGGCAGCAGCGGCAGCAGGTCCTGCGACTTGACTGAAGAGGCAAAGTTAGCCCTCTCCCCGAGGAAGCCCCCACCTCGACCTCTGCTGACACTTCCCCCCACCCCTGAAGGTGCCAAAGGGCTGGGGCTCAAGGCCCCCCTCGCTAGGCTAGGCTAGGCTGGGCCTCCCTTCCTCCCTCCCCGCCGCCTTTAGGCCGAAGGGGCCAAACGAGGGCCTCGGGGCCGACTCCTACCCGCTTCCTCCTTCCCTCTCTTCCTCTCAGGGAGGCTCCCAAGCCCTTCTGCCCAGGGGCTCCCCCTTCCTCTTTGGCGCGGCTCTGTGAGGCGTGGGTTCTGTCCCTTTTGAAAGCAGGAGGGAGAGGGGGAGGAGAAGGGAGAGGGGGAGGAGGAGGAGGAGGAAGGGGAGGAGGAGGAGGAGTTGGCAATCCCGGGAGTTGTAGTTGTCCTCCCTCCCTCCTGGGAAGGGGCGCCCTTCGCCAAGCAATGGGCTTTCAAGGACGAGAGAGCCCCACGCTCCCTCTGAGGCGCTCCCTCGGTCCTTCAGGGCTCTCTGGTGCAGAGGGCTCCCCTTGGGCCATTTATGAGGTTGCCTCAGGTAAAGGATTGTGACGCCTTAAGAGTAAGGCCGCCACGCAAGGTGCGCCCAAAATAACTGCCCCAGACCCTGGTTTCAAGGTCACAATAGGCCCCGGGCCTCAGGCTGCATCCGCACTGCCGAATTAATCCTGTTCGACCCCGCTTTAACTGCCAGGGCGCGATGTTATGGAATTCTGGGAACTGTAGTGTGTTGAGGGGCAGTGTGGTGTACTGGTTTGGACTGGGACTCTGGGAGAAATTGTTTATATTTAAGATTGTTTTGATTTAATAATCAACACGACGCCGCAACCCCCCCCCCCCAGTGGGCCACGGAAAAATTATCAAACGTTGACCGGTCCACGGCAATAAAAAGGTTGGGGACCACTGTTGTATGCCATCAACTTATTTCCAGTTTATGGCCACTCTAACTTAGCATGGGTTTTTCTTGGCAAGATTTGTTCAGAGGAGGTTTGCCATTGCCTTGCCCTGAGGCTGAGAGCATATGACTTGCCGAAGATCACCTAGTAGGTTTTGTGGTAGAGCAGGAATTGAACCCTGGTTTCCAGAGTCATAGTCCAAGGCTCAAACCACTATGCCATTCTGGCTCTCTAATGGACAGCTGGAGTGATCCCCCTAACTCCAAAACTGCCACCTCAGTCATTTCCTTACTTCATCAAACATGAATGTACAGTTGTCCCTCCACATTTGCAGGGGTTAGGGGAATGAGATCCCCACAAATGTGGAAAAACTGTGAATAACTCTGCCCACTCAAAAGCCAATTAAAGGGAGAGGTGGGCAGGTGAAGAGAATCAGGAGTTGCAGTCCCTTTTTCCCACCCTCCATCTCTTTAACTGGCTTCCTACCCCTTTCCCAGCCAGATTGCTGCCTTCCCCAGGGGGCAATTGGGCAGGGAAAGGCAGGAGGAGCCTCCATTCCCCCCACAACCCTTTCCCTGTCCCAGCTCCCTGGGCTGCCCAGGGCACGATTAGGCAGGGAAAGGCAGGAGCAGCCTCCACCCCTCATGACCCTTTCCCAGCCGGATCACTGCCTGAGCAGCCCAGGCAGCAATCCAGCTGGGAAAGGGTCATGAGGGGTGGAGGCTGCTCCTGCCTTTCCCAGCTGGATTGCTGCCTGGCCAGACGGGGGGAAAAAACATAAGGGGAAATGCCCGGGAGAGAGGGGGAGAAGGAATGCCCAGGCTAGCGGCCTTGACCTCATGAATAATCAAAACCACGAGTGTCAAGGCTGCGAATGTGGAGGGCCGACTGTATACAGAGACTGTTTGCTAGATAAACACTTTTAGAAGGTGTGTCACTAATTTTAAAGGATAGCTGTAGCTTCACAACTCTTCAAACAACACAACCCCAGTAAAAATGACAAACCTTGTGGCTTCTTAAAAACTCCAGCACATTTATTGTGGTATGACCTTTGCCTGTAGTCAAACATACATACCACAGAATAAAGATGAATAGAAATGAACTGGAGCGAACCGAATAAACATGATTGTTTTCTAGGACAGATAAGTATATACAAATGCTATCTAGCACATTCAGTCTTTTAGTGACAGCATCATGCATTTCAAGAAATATCCACATAAATGAACTGAAAAGCTTTGCAACATATTTTCTTTGTTACCAATTGAGAAATCCATTTTCTTTGCCCCTTCATCCGCTTAAACTGCTTTTATATTCAGAGCTGTTTGCTTCAGTTTCAAGGAGAGAAAAGCTGAGCTAATGATCAACATGTGGTGGTGTAATTGTTTAGATTTTGCAACAGATCCAATACCTGTATATGAAATAAGCCTTGTGTTTACAGAATGCTGTAATAAAATGAATATCATCATAAAATAATTGCCATCATAATCATTGTTATCACAGAGTATAAGTATTCACATACTTCAGAGTTCTTGATATTTAAAAAGACAATCATATAGGTCACAAACATAGGCACATCTATCAGAAAGGAACAAACTGTATAGGATTTTAAGGCCCCATTCATACTATGGAAATAAACCAGTGTCAAACTAGTTTATTTCCATGAAATTCACATTTGCCTTGACTATACTTGGTGCAGTTGGGGAGGGGGGCGACAGCAACTAAAAAGCCCACTTAAACCAGTACATTTGGCACTGGAGCCCTTAGAGGTTCTTTTTTTTTTTTTTAAAGAGCTGTAACAATCTGCATCTTTGGTAGTGTGACCACCCTACTGAATCAATTCAGATTGCACTGCATCGTTCCAAGAAATGGAGGCGCCTCCATTTTAAATCAATACTGTGGCAGATGTGAATGACAACAGGGTTGAAATGGCATGGAGAGATTTGATTGAAGTAAATGTAGTGAGAACATCAAACCGATTCTGAATCGGTTCTGAATCGGTGTGGAGATGTAGATCTCTTCGTTCAAAAAAATAAGTGTGAATGACTCCTAAGAAGAGCCCATAAACTGTACACAGGGTGGGTCTGCATATGGGTTGTAGGCTTCCTGTTAACTAGGGAGCCAAGATGACAAGATCAAGGCCAGTGTAATATTATTTTATGTCATTTTTATGCTGCCTTTCTCCCAGAAAGGGACCCAAGGTGACTCATAAGATAAAAACATTTTTAAAACTTTACAGGAATAATTTAAAAACAATTAAAATCATCCAGTTAAAACAGTATAGAATTAACATAAAAACATAGCATAATAATCTTCATCAGGGACAAGAGAGACAGAAGAAAACTTTAAATTAGACTGTACATGTCAGATCTGAAATTAGGAAGATTAGAGAATTCCAGGTAGGAAATGGTTTTATTGGGTTTCCATAGCCAAACAAGGATTTGAGTCCTGTTCCTCTGGGGTCCTTGTCTAACATTCAAACTACTATCAGGGGTAGGCAACCTTTCCCCTTTAAGGGCCGAGGGACTTCAGCTCCCAGAAGCCTCAGCCATGTTGGCCAATAGTCCCATGTTGGCCAATAGCTCCTGGGATTCTGGGAGCTGCAGTCCCTCAGCCCTTAAAGGGGAAAGGTTGCCTACTACACCATACTGGCTCACAATACAGGTGTATTCCAGTAAAATAACTTTACAATTATACATTTTCTTCATTGTATGAAGGGTGTATCATGCAGATGCTAGGATGCCAGGCTATGGTACTCCATGCTGAGCATCATGCATGCCAATTGACCTGGTCTCTAGATGTCCACATGTGTGCATGATCATCTGTGCTAACCTTGACAATACTTGAACAGGGGCCAGCAGCATATCTCTGCTCCCTGATGACCACAAAAAAACAAAAACAAAAAACCCTTTAATGGATTAAAGGGGCTAATAACCTTCATAGCTCAATCTGACCAAGACTGAAGTCCTAGGAGATTATCACATCAGCTTTAAAACCAGTTTACCTGAGCCATCTTAAAATTAGAAGCAGGCGGCATCCTCCTTCTCAGCAGCGTCTCCATAGCTCCCCTTTTAGAACTGTAGTTATAGGGGTTTTAAATTGTTGGTGTTGTTTTCTGTTTTTAATTTGTTATTGTGATTTTAATTGATATACAGTTTAATAACTTTTGAAGGGGGGAGGGAAATATATTGTTTATGTTGTATGTTCTTAATGCTGTAAATTGCCCAGATTGGTTCGCCAAAGGGCGGTATAAAAATAAAATTTATTATTATTATTATTATTATACACATTTAGCCATTGAAATCGCCTCCCGGCTCCATCACTGCTCAGAGGGGCGCTTCTGTGGCCGTTTTTTCAAGCCGGAACTCTCAAAAACTCCTGGCTTCGAAAAGAGGCACAAGGAGTGCCCCTTGGAGCAGCGATGGAGCCAGGCTGCAGCTGGGAGGCAATTTCGGTGGCTAAATGTGTGTGATAGTATCAGGATGCTGCCCACTTCTAATTTTAAGGCTGGCTCAGGTAAGGTGGTTTTAAAGCTGATGCGATAATCTCCCTACACAAATACAGTTGTGAGTAAGCCACAGTGAATTTAGCAGGAGAGAAACCCTTCACAACTTACTTCTAAATGAACATACTTAACACTGCTCTGTGAAGCATAAGATGAAATCTAATGGTATAGTCAGTTCAAATGAAACTAGTAGCAGACCTCTTTTAAAAAAAGCTTGATTGAAACTACCAGCCCCATTTTAAATGAATATACTTTGTAATACCAGGTGATGATACATTTTGAGAGTTTAAGGTGGAAAAATAAAGGTAGCATTGTAACTTCCTCAGTTCAAAGGTGCTTAGTGAAATAAGATGAAATATCTCTTTCTCAATTTAGAAAGCTTTGATTGTTAAGCTGGGTGTGTGTGGGTGGGAGATAGTCTTCTTAATTTCAGCGAAACTACTCTAAAACAAACATTTTAAAGATTATGCACTCTAATTTTTTTTAATATGAAGTATAAATCACTTTCCCCTCTCCTATTCTCCTTCATTTTTATGTTATAGTTCTTCACTGTTAACAGTCAAGAGACATTTATAAAGTTAATGGTCAGTATTTTATACTTTATAAATTAATTACAAAGTTATTGAACTGAGTGTCACATATTAAAATACATGGAGAGCATTTCAACAATTCTTTTTCAATGTAGCTTTTTGGAGAAGCATGCCTAAATGGTTTGGTGTAACCACATTTTCTAAAAGTAGAAAGATGCCTTCATTTTAAAGTCAAAAATTCTACTTTAATACTACTCTAGCTCTGGTCCTGACAAGTTGGAATCTGGATTCCTTCACTTCCAGCATCCAGCACAGCTTCTGTGGAAAAGGATGAAGTAGACAGTCTTTCAGATAGCTCATCTCCTGTTCATCTACTGTTTTGACAATAATGATAAAGATCTTAAAATGGTCATCTCATTGAAGAGGCTGGAGAAATAGAAATGTGTGTGCTACTTGCCTTATATAGTAATTTTAAAGCTGTGGCTGGAAACAGGTCGATACTCCAGTTCACTGGGATCATTTTTAAAGTAGAATGTGGTGCAACAACTTAGCCTTTCACATCTCACAAACATGCAAAAACAAGAGTTTCTGTGTCTTTCCATTAAGCTTTAGTGTGACCTAATTAGCCTAGCTAAATTCTGGATACAAGTCTCTGTAAAGAATGTCTATATACATACAGCCAAATATTAATAACTGCATATACTCTTTATTTAGGCCCCTCTTAAAGAAGCCTAATCTTGGTTTATATCCACAGTGCAGAAATAAAGCAGTTTGACACCATTTTAACTGCCATAGCTCAGTGCTATGGAATTCTGCGATTTGTAGTTTTGTGAGATATTTCTACTTTCCTGTTGGAGAGCTCTGGTGCCCCACTAAACTACAAATCACAGAATTCCATAGCATTGAGCAAGGGATGTTAAAGTGGTTTCAAGCTGTCTTATTTCTGCAGTGTGGCATTAGCCCTGAACCCAAAAAGGATTAATTAGTGTAGACTAGTAGCCAATATTCTATTTCTGGCCCAGTGCTTGAGTAGGTTGACTGCCAAATAACTCCAGACATTCTTTAATGAAACTGATTATCTAGATCTATTTTAGTCAGGCTTCAAACCTAGTTTTGGAATAGAAACTACCTGAGGTAATCTGTGGGATGATCTTTGCAAAGAGGACAGGTGAAGTGCAGTCGTATTCTTTTGGGAT